AGAGTTAGATCCCCATCCTATATAATAAAAGCCTAATATGCAAATTGACTGAACAGCAGAACGACCAATGGAACAACCAGTTGCTATGACGCTCACTGACCACCAGGGGGCAGACACTTAACGCAGGAGCTGCGGGTCGCCCCACAGAGGGAAGTGAGCAGCAGCTGGCAGGGGGATCAGGGAGTGAGGCCAGCTGCCAAGGGGACGGCACCAGGCCAAGGCGGGTGCCAGCAACCCCCACCCCCATCACCCCACCGGTCGCCCCACATATCGGCCCTAATCACTGGCCAGGCCTAGAGACCCTACCCATGCACAAATTTTTTGCATCGGGTCTCTAGTCTATAGCAAAAACTAGCATTGGCAATCAAGCAGCAGCGATAAAAAGGAATGAACAAGAAATATGGGGTCAGCTCCCAGCAGAAACAACTGGCAAGACGACAGTCCGCCTCTGCAGAGTGGCCTAGAGGGTGAGGAGTCTGGGAGGGGGGACTGGAATTATTTAACTGTGTAGATATACATTGTTCATTAACACTCAAAACCGTTGGTATCAGCAGACACGACCCACATCGCAGTCTCACATGTTCTGATATACGTGGCCCTGATCCAGCCTTAGTTCCTGTTCTAAATCACAGACCAAATAAAGGCACCAATGATCTGTTACGGGACTTGCCAGCACAGAACTTCATACACACCAGGGGCTTCATGCTTCTTTATTAATTAAGTGAGGGAGGAATAATTTTCTTGTAGGTGAGTCTCTGGAAACTCTATGGTATTGAAATAATAAATGGGAAAATGCTTTGGAAATGTAAAGCCCTACAGCAGTGTTTCTCGACTTTGGCACCACTGACGGCTGGAGCCAGACAGATCCTTGTTGTGGGGATGTCCTGTGCGTGATAGGATGTCGAACAGCCCCTGGATTCCACCCACTAGCTATGGCCACTCTCCCAATTATGACAACCCAACTGTTCCCAGGAGGTAAAATAGACCCCCATTAAAATCTGCTTAAGATTCAGCATATGAACTGGGGGGTGAGGGGTACAAACATTCACTCATCAACCTGTCTCTTTGTCAACTCACCTCTGTGTTCCTGATACTGGGATGAAAATATACATACAATACAACCCCAGACTTTAGGAAGCTCACAGTCTGATTGCGAACACAGACAAAGGGCTGTGATCCGGTAACATGAAGGCATTAAAAAAAAACAGACAGAATTTCGGGTGATAATGACATGTCAACATAGGCTCATTGATTGTCACAACTGCACTGCTGCGGTGCAGGGGCTGATAGCAGGGAGGCTGTGAACAGGGGGACAAGGGGCCTATGGAAACTCTGTACTTTCAGCACTATTTTGCCATGAGCCTGAAACTGCTCTAAAAAATATAGTCTGCTTTTAAAAAGTAGACATGATTTATCCTAAACTAAAGACACTGAGTCACAGAGGGACCATGGCTTGGGACGTGAAGACAGCTAGATTCAAACAAGATCAAACATTTTAGAAACATGTTTTACTAGAAGAGTAACTTGAGGAAGAAGTACAAAAATAAACAAGTCTGGGAGCTCAGAGGTGTCCATGAGGAAATACACTCAGGGTCTTGTGAAATTCTCCGAGGAAAGCCGGTGGAACTACAATCAGGAAGTGGCCACGTGCCCTGGGTTCGGCCCCAAAGGGGGTATATAAGGGCCCCCGAAGCAAAGGGCATCAGACGTCTCTCATCTCCTAAGTCTCTCTCCTCACTTCACCTGAATCCTCTCTGCTGATACCATGGGGTGCTGTGGCTGTGGTGGCTGCGGTGGTGGCTGTGGCTGTGGTGGTTGTGGTGGTGGCTGTGGCTGTGGCGGCGGCTGTGGTGGCTGCGGTGGCTGCGGTGGCTGCACCACCTGCAGATGCTACCGTGTCGGCTGCTGCTCAGGCTGTTGCCCCTGCTGCCGTGGCTGCTGTGGGGGCTGCTGCAGTGTCCCTGTGGTCTGCTGCTGCCGCCGCTCCTGTGGCTGTGGCTCCTGTGGCTGTGGCTCCTGTGGCTGTGGCTCCTGTGGCTGTGGGAAGGGCTGCTGTCAGCAGAAGTGCTGCCAGTGTAAGTGCTGCTGCCAGAAGCAATGCTGCTGCTAGGCAGTAGTCTCTTCCTCTAGGGTAAGTTTCCTGTGGCTTTGCTCATGGAATTTGGTGAGACTTTCCTCCTTCCCTCCACCTGCTTCCTCCAGTCCTGTGTACTCCTTGCTTTGAAATTGCTCATTCTGTCCCCTGCACTCTGGCGGTACAGGGCTGGTTGTTTCCCTTCAGCCTGGCATCATGATGACATCAACTTCTTCTCCCAGTATCTTCCAGAACTTAGCATCAAGGAGTATTTATTCTCTGTCATCTTTGGAATCTTGTCTCCATTTGGGAAAAAAAGATAAAATACCACCATATAGTATCAACATTAGGGGTTGGGAACCCAGACACCCACATCAAAAATCTATTTATGAGTTTAACAAAATAAAGTCATGATAGCTAATATTTTATTTTATTGAAAAATTTATTTATGATGAACTTTTTTGTTCTTTTGTATTGTATACCCACTAATATTTTCCCATTTGTCTCTCAAAAAAAAGCAACTCTTTCTTAATAAAAAATAAAAATAAACTTTTCTATTCCATTGTGTCTCTGTTCTAGAAGATGTATACCCTCCAATGAGTGAGAACAATAGAACAAAAGATGAAGGGTGATATTTAAAGACCTGGGATAGGTTTCAGCTAACAAATGATTGGTCCTACACTGCCTTATACTGGGTTTTACATTTGGTCGTCAGTGTCATTGAGGCAAATTCCTGTGCTCTACAGACACTTTCATGACATCTATGTCTGCAACCGAATTCTGGTTGTAAGAAGTGCTGACAGCCCCTAGCTTTACTCCAGCATTCCATGTAGTGGTTTACTTATTCATTCAGCAAATAGGTGAGTGTTACATTAGGCCAGGTACTCAGCCAAGCACTAGAAATCTTTTACTTCAAAGGCGGCGATTATAATACAGCTTCCCATGTCAGATTGTTTTTGTCTGGTCAACTTGACCCACTCCTACATCAAGGATTTTTGTACATTGTTGCAATCAGATTATTAAGTACCAACATAAGAGGTTCTCAACCCATTTTCTGGGTAAGTCGATCAAGTGAAAAGTGTACACTTTCCACAGGGCTTTTCATTTGGCCTCCCAGCAGCATTTGACACATCTGACCAACCACTCCCTTCTCCCACCCCAACCCATTTCCTTCCTCCTTCCTCATAAGTCCCTCACCTCCCCTTGCCCCTCACTGATACTCCTCTCCAGCCTCACCTGTAGGTTCTTTCCCAAGACTGACGCCCCAAGGCTCAGACCCTAGCCCTCTTCTCCATCATTCTACAGCCTCATCTGATCCCTGTCATTTTTTTTTCCTTTTACATAGCACGTAACACTTTCTAACATGCCATAAAATCCATGAATGTATCATGTTTACTCTATAGGGTTCCCTCTGCCTCACCCCATGTCCAACTGGAAAATACATTCTACAAAGCAAAGATTTCTAACTCTCTGTTCACTGATGTATCATCTCAAGGACCTAGAGCAGCACCTGGCACTAGTACAGTACTCAATAAATAGGGCATTAGTGAATAGATTATTTTAAAACTCTTAATTATAGAAAATGCCAAGCGTACACAAAAGTGGAGAATAGTACAACAAATTCCTAAGAACCATCACCCAAGCCAACAATTATCAACACATGGCTCATCTCTGGTCATCTGTGAACCCACCTCTGGATCATGTGGAACCAAATTTAGACCGCATGTCAACTCATCAGCAAATATGTTTACTTTTCTATGAATTGATGAATTCCTCATCATGTTTCTTTGGTTTAGAGCCAGCGGTTCTCAACCTGTAGGTCGCGACCCCTTTGGCAGTCGAACGACCCTTTCACAGGGGCTGCCTAAGACCATCCTGCATATCAGATATTTACATTACGATTCATAACAGTAGCAACATTACAGTTATGAAGTAGTGACGAAAATAATTTTATGGTTGGGTCACAACATGAGGAACTGTATTTAAAGGGCCAGAAGGCTGAGAATCACTGGACTTTAGACTGTCTATGAGATAGCAAAGAAACACAAAAGTAACTTCTCAAGGTCCAAATGAGGTCCTTTCTTGGGAGTGTTGTGGAGGAAATCATGACACCCTCAACCTTTAAAAAAAAAGTCACAGTGTTCTTTGGGAGGGCCTTGAAATTCATAAGGGCATCTGTCCCACTGTGCACAGGGTATTCCCACTCCTGAAGTGCATCATGGTACTTTATAGGCAGATTTCCGAAAATCATAGGAGGGTGAGAATAGAAAATCCAAACCAGTAGGACAGGGACCCAGGACACCCGGAGGAATTGTAATCAATTTGATTCCCACTAGCAGCCCTTAGAAACCAAGCAGTGTTTATCTTGGGGGAGGGTTTTTCATTTCCACCAACAGCTCAACAATTTTTTAAATTCCGCTTTAACCAAGGAGAACCTTATAATGCTTTTTAAAACCTCTCTTGATTAAAAAAAAAGTATTTAATATATGAACTATTTGTACTAGAAAATTCTCAAAGTGCTAGGAAACCACCCCCACCCCACCACCTAAAAACAAACAAACAAACAAACAAACAAAAAACCCTAGTGATTATAAACATTGGCAACGGATTCAGGATGCCCCAATAACCACAACAAATCCAGGTTTCTCTATTTATTAACCTTACCTCTTTCTGCCTTCGTTTTTTCATGTGCAGAGTGGGGATCAAAGCTGTGTCTCTCAGAAATTTTTGAGAGAAATAAATGGATTTATAGGAACTGACATGTATAAACAGATCGACTTTGCATTCAGTTCATCCTGCTTCCTCACGTTGATATTGGTATCAGTATATTACTTTAAGTCCTTCCTTACTTTAAGGTCTGCAGTTGGTGTCTGCCCATAGACTGCGGATTCCCGCCTCCAGTTTAACGCTCTGGGCGCCTGTAACTGGCAGGTACCAGACGTTGGGCGGGGTCTCAGGCTGAGTCCTGCCCCCACCCCGGCCTCCAGCGCGTGGCTTCCCGCGCGGGGATGGCTGAAGGTCGTGGTCCCCCGGGGCTGGTTATCCAAGGATGTGAGCGATTTGACGAGCAGAAAAGCCCTTCCGTAGGTAAGAGAGGCCCCGGGAGGTGAATTCATGGAAGAAATGCATGATCGCTGGGTCACAGCACTCCCCGTTCCCCAGTTTCGGGCGCGCAGTGGCGGCGGGTTGGGCCGGGTCTGGACGCGCTCGCGAGCCTCCTCCCGCCGCTGGGAGCTGCCCTCCAGCGCGGCGCGCATCGCCCCAGTAGGTCACCGTCTGCCTTCAGGAAAGGCAGGTTAATCACAGCCAGGATTCTGGTGAAGAGCCAGCATCCCAGGCACTGGGATTGCAAATTCCCATCTAAAACTCGCCAAAAGGTCCCGAGTGCGGAAAAGAAAGGGCGCTTTGAAGTTTAGAGACCTGGGCTCCACGGAGAACTTTCATTAAAACTAAGAGAAAGGTCATCAAATTAGGTGTAGAGCAAGTTGGTGTTGCTGCTGTTCAGATGCAATAGGTTTGGCTTGTCCGGTGCTTACAGGGCGGAAAGGAAAGGGTGAAAGGAACAATCTTCTAAAAACACTCCTACACATAGCTGAGCACATTAGTGTCTCCTAAAGATGGGAGGTGTGTTTCCAACAAGGTATGTGTTTTAAATAGAGCAAAACACGACTAAATTCCGATATGTTTTTCTTCCAACTGTCTGAAGAGTAGCTGAAATGGACAAAAACGCGAATTTGGTTCAGGCATTATTGGTTATAGACCAGCAATAGTGATTTAAGGGTGGGGAATGGTAAATGCAATTCAAGCATGAATATTGAAAGATCAATGTATCTGGCCTGTTGTCCCTTAGCGGTTTAGGTGAAATTATGAACCGTGAATTGTTTACCTTTCTGAAGTTACTGTCTGCACTATGAGTGCCCAGCTGTTTTCTTTCTGGTTGAATTTGCCATGTGTACTTAGTGAGGGAGGTGAGAAGGCAGCTGTACTGAACGCATAATGCTTGCCAAGAACCAGACGGAACAGTCCCTGAGACAACCTTGTGGGATGGGTGTAATTATCTACCTTTTAAGAGGAGGCTTGGAGAGGTTAAGTACCTGTCACAAACAGGGGTGGGGCAAGAGGAACATGAACTTGAAACTCCAAAGTCATGCTCTTCCCATGGGGCCACATTGTCCATGGAAAGCCCAAGCCTGGAGGGAAAAAAAACAAGCCTAAATCTGGGAAGCTCTGCAGTGAGATGTCAAAATATTAAGACTAATTTGGGGATTTAACAACGATTAGAAAATCATTTAGATTCAGAGGAACAAATTGGAGGTTATTTGGATAGGCTGAGGCATGGTGAATGGTAACAGGCATTGAAAGAAAATTCTGGTAAAGAATAAAGTCAGGAGTCTCAAACAGATATAAAAATGAACACAAGCAGGGTAGAGAGGGTCATGGGGGGGGGAGGGACAGGAACATCTGTAATACTTTCAACAATAAAGATAACTTTTTTAAAAAATGAGCATGTATTAAAGGTTTTATTAACTCATTATTCAGAAAGCTGGTAAGGATATTCCAACCAGATCAAAGGAGAATCCAAAGGATAGTAGATGTATAGATCAGGAATACTGAAATGCAGGCCAAACTGGTTTTCCAGGTGGGAGAGGGGAAGAGGGTTGTTGCTTCCTTGGTTATAACTCATTTGCATGGCCAGAGATAAGAATGATGCCACATTGTTATCAATTAATGCAATTAAAAAAGTTGTAAAAGAGCTCAAACAATGCAGTTTTTCCATGAAGGACAAATTTGTTCTCACCCCTCCATGTGCACTTGACCAGTTACCACAGCACATTTCAGTGGTGCGATGCAGTGAGGTGACTTTCTATCTAGGTTGTCCCCTGGTTTTGTGGTTTTGCTAGAAATATTCCTCCTGGCTCACCTGAGACTCGAGTGATGAAACCATAGACATACAGAAAATAAACAATCTGGGAGGAGTGGTTAATTCACCAGCAAATGTTTCATGAAAGTCAAAAAGAATGATGGCATATATGATAAAATGGAATCAGAAGCGTGTACATCAAGCATGTCAAACTCAAAGGGTAGCACGGGTCAAATAAACGAAGCATGCAGCCCATGGGCTGCAAGTTTGCCATGCTTAGTGTACATATTTTGAAGATCACTTGAATCTACTCTTTCAATGGTTTTGGACAGGGAATTTCAATCTTTTTCATCTCATGGCACACATAAACTAATTTCTAAAATCTGCAGCACACCAAAAAATATATTTTTTGCCAATCTGACAAAAAAGATAGGTATAATTTGGATTCATTTACACTGGACGGCTATTGTCGTGTTGGCTATTGTCATTTTTTTTTTTATTTGACAGTCTAAGGGAAAAGAGGTCAGTGCCCCTGACTAAATAGTGAGGTATTATATGTTTTAAGAATTCTTGCAGTTGGCCTGAGTGGCTCAGTAGGTTGAGCATCGTCCAGTGTACCAAAGGGTTGTGGATTCCATTACCAGTCAGGGCACACGCCTGGGTTTCAGGTTTGTTCCCTAGTGGGATTCATGTGTAAATATGTGCCATACAATGTGTTAAAGATTTCAGAGTCTAATAGAAGGCTTCATCAACTCAATCTATGTTCTTTTGGGTTTGACCTTACCTAGAAGTATGTTGCCATGAGATGAAAAAGGTTGAATTCGTTGGTCAAAACTTTTGAAAGAGTGGATACATGTGATCTTCAAAATATGTGCATGCTTCTGGCTCCATTTTATCATATACTAGAGTCCCTAGGCCCGGCCTGTGCCCTCTCACAGTCTGGGACCCCTCGGGGATGACCACCTGCTGGCTTAGGCCCGCTCCCCGGGGAATTGGGCCTAAGATCCCAGTCAGACATCCCTCTAGCAGCCCAGGAGCCCTTGGCTGGCCAAGCCCCCCAGCGGGGACCCTCACCCCATGAGGGTGTGGCCATCTTGGGTAAGGGGCTGATGGCTGTTTGTAGGCTGGCCAAGCCCCCCAGCGGGGACCCTCACCCCATGAGGGTGTGGCCATCTTGGGTAAGGGGCTGATGGCTGTTTGTAGGCTGGCCAAGCCCCCCAGCGGGGACCCTCACCCCATGAGGGTGTGGCCATCTTGGGTAAGGGGCTGATGGCTGTTTGTAGGCTGGCCAAGCCCCCCAGCGGGGACCCTCACCCCATGAGGGTGTGGCCATCTTGGGTAAGGGGCTGATGGCTGTTTGTAGGCTGGCCAAGCCCCCCAGCGGGGACCCTCACCCCATGAGGGTGTGGCCATCTTGGGTAAGGGGCTGATGGCTGTTTGTAGGCTGGCCAAGCCCCCCAGCGGGGACCCTCACCCCATGAGGGTGTGGCCATCTTGGGTAAGGGGCTGATGGCTGTTTGTAGGCTGGCCAAGCCCCCCAGCGGGGACCCTCACCCCATGAGGGTGTGGCCATCTTGGGTAAGGGGCTGATGGCTGTTTGTAGGCTGGCCAAGCCCCCCAGCGGGGACCCTCACCCCATGAGGGTGTGGCCATCTTGGGTAAGGGGCTGATGGCTGTTTGTAGGCTGGCCACGGCCCCTAGCCACCCAAGTTCCCAGTGGAGGCTGACTGGAAGCAGGTATCTGGAATTTTTTTATCTTCTATAATTGAAACTTTGTTGCCTTTAGCGGAGGCCACAGCAGGCCAGGCCAGGGCAGGCGGGAAGCTTGGCTTCCTCCATCGCCAGGGGAACCAAGCCTCCTGCTTGCTCCAGCTGCCGGCTGCCATCTTGGTTGGGTTAATTTGCATATAGTCACTCTGATTGGCTGGTGGGCATGGCTTGGGGTGTAGTGGAGGGGCGGTCAATTTGCATGTTTCTCTTTTATTAGATTAGATATGCTATCATTCTTTTTTACTTTCATGAAACACTAGTAGCCCGGTGCACGAAATTCGTGCACTGGGGTAGGGGTGAAAGGGTCCCCTCAGTCTGGCCTTCACCCTCTCCAATCTGAGACCCCTCAGGGAATGTCCAACTACCTGTTTGTGCCCACACTTTTAACAGATAACAGCTCCATTGTTGTTTCTTTCTCATGCTTAAAACCATTGGAATTAGTAGGTATTCAAAGTGTGTATACATTTTGGGGGGACACCCTGTATATCTCTAGTCAGCGGTGAAAGAAACCAACAGCAGGTTTGAAACCCCCAGACAGGGAACCTCGCTCAATCCCCACATGTCTCCCCACTTCACTTTCCACCTTCGTGGGCAGCAGGAAAATCAACATTTTCTCTCATTAATTCAGAAAAGCACGTCCTGTCACCAGCTGCCTGGCAGGAGTGCGCTAGGCCCCAAGCAAGTGAGGCTCAGTCAGGGCAGCCTTCGCACATGGGTGCTGGCACCCGAAGTGCACATTCCTTCTCTACAGTCACCCCGACTATCCCACTGTTTCACTGAGAGGACGGAATTCCTCTCCGCCTCTGGGTTCTTGATCTTGAACACTGACCGAAGGCACCTCAGCGAGGGCCGCC